CCCATGTTTTGGTGCTCACTCAGTCAGAGGCGCGGCCGCCTCGTCTGCATTTACATCTGGGGGCTCCCTAACGGAGATCCTCACTTCTGCAGATTGGTCTAGAGAATCCACCTTCAGAACCTTCTTTTTTAGACAACCCCCTCATGTATCTAATGCCATCATATCATCGCTTTAAAACAGCAAATATGAAGCCTCCTGTCTTGCCATAAAATTCGGGATTATTCTAACCTTAGTGACCGAATAATCAAAATTTTATTAAAGACAGGAGGCGGATATTTTCCCGCCCGCTAATACACACACCCAGCCCAACTAGGTAGGTATTCCACAACACCTCTATTGACTAAACCAATGTTTTATAACCTACGTCTCAGGCCTCTCCTACAACTACCTTTACGGATACTACACTAACTACCTCATAACTTAAGACTTGTCAGAATAGGACTGTACAACTTGTTGGAAACATAACAGATAACGTAATTAAGTATTGTTTTTCATTTACCCAAGAAACCATACTTTCACGACCTCTCTCTCTCCTTTTTTCCTAGTGTGAAAACCCTTCTTTACATCTCGAGGAATTACATATGTTCCCACATCGTTTACATGGTTGACTACATTTGAGACCTTTTATTTTTCCACCGTTTACATGGTTGACTCTGCGGCTGTCGGCTGCATCAAGAAAGAGGAATTGGGAGGATCCTGATGACTGGACATACTCTATTGTACACTCTGATTGGTTAAATTTTTACTTACTGTTAACTGTTTCTTTGCTGCTGGGAGTTACAGTAAAGAAAGTAAAGAAAATATTCGCCTCCTGTCTTTAATAAAATTTAGATTATTCGGTCACTAAGGTTAGAATAATCCCGAATTATATATAATAAGTGTGGGTGCATATAATATGAAAGAGGTGAATTAAGGTTGCACAGATATATAGCGCAAATTCCAGTTTTTGTTTACATTTTGTTATGATCATAATGTGTACTATTGACTCCGTCCAACCGTAATTCACCCCTTTCATAGTAAATGCACCCACCCTTATTATATATCATTTTATTCAGGGGAAACAGGGCTTTCATTTAATATCAAATATTTAGCTATGAAACATAATTTAATATGAAAAAAATGGGAGAAAATAAGATTTTTTTTATTTTTTTAGTTCTACATGACATTTTAACTGTCAATGTCATAATACTGTTTGCTTTTACTGCAATAAAATACACATATTTGTATTCAGCAAAGTCTCATGTGTAAAACAGTACCCCCTATGTACAGGTTTTATGGTGTTTTGGGAAGTTACAGGGTCAAATATAGCACGTTACATTTGAAATTGAAATTAGCCAGATTGGTTACGTTGCCTTTGAGACTGTATAGTAGCCCAGGAATGAAATTTACACCCATAATGGCATACCATTTGCAATAGTAGACAACCCAAGGTATTGCAAATGGGGTATGTCCAGTCTTTTTTAGTAGCCATTTGGTCACAAACACTGGCCAAAGTTAGCGTTAGTATTTGTTTGTGTGTGAAAATGCAAAAAATGCCAATTTTGGCCAGTGTTTGTGACTAAGTGGCTACTAAAAAAGACTGGACATACCCTGTTTGCAATACCTTGGGTTGTCTACTATTGCAAATGGTATGCCATCATAGGGGTAATTTTCATTCTTGGGCTACCATAGGGTCTCAAAGGCAACGTAACCAATCTGGCGAATTTTAATGTGAAAAAAATGAAAAGCAAGCCTTATATTTGACGCTGTAACTTTTGAAAACACCATAAAACCTGTACATGAGGGTTACTGTTGTACTCAGGAGACTTCGCTGAACACAAATATTTGTGTTTCAAAACAGTAAAAAGTATCACAGCAATAATATCGTCCGTGTAAGTGCTGTTTGTGCGTGAAAAATGCAAAAAACTTCACTTTTACTGGTGATATCATCGTTGTAATACATTTTACTGTTTTGAACAGTACACTAATATTTGTATTCAGCGAAGTCTCCCGAGTAGAACAATACCCCCAATGTACAGGTTTTATGGTGTCTTGGAAAGTTATAGGGTTAAATATAGTTCTAGCAAATTAAATTCCCTTTACTTTCGGCATGGGTTGTCAGGCAGGTCCTGCTAATTGTAATTAATTAAGATACCTAATTATGTAAAACTATTACATAAATATATATATGTAGAATTAATATATGTATATATATA